TAAGATTCTCTTATCCAAATCAAAACCTTTATAATAATGTCCGGTTATAGCTAAATAATCCTTGTTGGCAACGGCGGACCAAATATCCGCCGTTAACGCAACGCAACCACTTGTAGAGTGTAGAAGGTTGATTAATGCTTCCTTTTCTTGTTTATATAATTTTAATGCATCTTTCCTAAGAGTAGTTCTAGAAAAAAATTGTGCATTAGGATTATGTACAATTTTAATATAACGTTGTCAATTTCTTTGTTCAGGAAAACTTAGTGGTTGCTCTAATGTGGCTATTAATCGTATCATTTCCATACGATCAACTTGCGGATCGTATTTCCACGTGCTTAGACCGCCGGTTTGGCGGTCAAACGATAATTGCGTTTGGCGGAGATCAGCTCCGCCTCCTTGCTTTTGAAGACACTTTTCAGAGTGCCTTCTTAAGTGTGTAGTGCCGTGAATAGTGTTACCTTGTAATTTCTCACCACAATATTTACATTGAGCTACGTATTTAATGTTACCATTATTGTCGACATCCTCGAATGTGTTGAAGTGCTCCCAAACTGCTGAGGTGCGCTTGCATTTCTTCTTAGAACTTGCAACACTTGCACTAGCACTACCGCTTGCCTCTCCTCCACGGCCACTTGTGCCACCACCATTGCATCCCCAACCTCTAGTACGTCCACCAGGAGTCGGATTTGCAGTTTCATCAGCAACTCTTTCCATAGTTTGCGATTCCTGCGTTTGAAAAACATTAGGAAATTGCCCTTCTTCGATGTTGAATTAGGCATCAATGGGAATATCACCACCATAACCAGAAGAAGCCATTATGAAAAATAAGAGAGATTGAGAGCGCTTTGAGAGAGCTTAAGAGAGATCGAGATTCGAGAGAGATTTAAGCGAGATTAAGAGAGATTTGAGAGAGATTAAGAGAAATTGAGAGAGATTAAGAGAAATTGAGAGAGGATGAGAGTTTTGGGGTAAGGAAAATGGTTGGGAGAAGGGGGGGTATTTATAGGAAAATTTTTGGGTTGAAAAACAAATTTTTTCCTCCAAAAATTCGGGTCCAACGGCTACAAATTTTTCTGGCAGTTCGGGCAAAAATCGAGCAGGTCGGGCAACGGTACAAAATCTGACCGTTTGGTTCAAAAAATTCGGGCAAAATTCGGGTTCGGGTTGGGTTCAGGCAAAAAGACTAGTTTTTTCAAAATTTGGGCATTTTTTCGGGCTAACGATCAAAAAACATCGGGCATTTTTCGGGCAACGGGCAAAAATCAGGCAACGGTCACAAAAATTCGAGCAACGGTCACAGAAATTCGGGCAGTTCGGGCACAAATTCAGGCAGTTTTCGGGCAGCTTCGGGTATTGCCAGAAAATTCAAAAAAAATCCGGCAAACGGCAGGGGACGACTTCTCCACGGCGGCGGGCTGTCGGGGGGATTAATATTTTTGAGCTACCCGTGCCCGAAGAAAACCGTGGTCGGGCGGCGAGAGTGACCTGCCTGACGTGCCCGAAAGTTCAGCACTGCCTCAGCTACACAAGTTTGCATGAGTCACAAGAGAGTTCATTAGGCAAAGTGATACATGATTGAGTGGATAATTTACAAAACTGACCAAGTAAAACTTGCACCATGGTGATCTAGGCTCAATTTTAAGAAACAGAAATTGCAATACAGCAGTTTTCTGAAAATAATTATAACAAATATTGACAGGTTTAATATTAATTATAGGAATTAGCAATTTTTATACTTTAGTGAAGAAAAAAATATAAAGTATTTTAATAGCATTTATTAAAAACATGTGAGTGGAAATAGTGACGATAATAGGGACAGTTATGAGAAAAATGTATGGTGCAGGCTACTTTCCAAGATTTTTGTACTTTTTGTCTTAAATACATATGTTATTAATTTTTATTCCCTTTGCCTCAATTTCCTTTTAAAAATTGCTGTTATTTTTTTTATTTCTTTTCTACACATGCAGAAATAACAGAACTATGAAAAGGTTCTTTCAAAAAGAACTATGAAAAGGAATATATCTATCACATATAAAATATTATCCATGTTAACTGCTTTTGCTTTCTCTAGTTCATCAAATGTTTGTTGGATTGGTTCTTGTTCTAGATTCATTAGCTTCTTTGTAATGGCTGATTTAAAGTTCTTGCATAAAAGTACGTCTTTCATTCAATATGTATTATTATTGTAATGGCTGATTTAAAGTTCTTGCATAAAGGCATATTATTATTTGGCCTCTTATTTAGCGGGGAGTCTCTAACGAATATGTGGGCGTATTTAACACATGATTTCAGGTATTTCTTCAAGGTCCAAGCCACCAGGTTCGTCCCTCAATTAAGTTCAAGTGTGTGATAATCATTAATTTCTTGATCAAGGAAAAGGGCGAAGACATGATAAGCTGTAAATGTAATACCCTAAACTTTATGTTTATGAATATGTTTCATGTATGACAAGGAATTATTGAGATTTCTTATTTAAGTTAATGGTCAACGACTTTGTGGTTACTCGATTATTTTGATAATTAGTTTCTGATATTCTACCATGTGCAAGAATAAAAAATAATTAATTTTGAGCCGTTAGAGATTTAAAAAATTACGAGTTACTTAATTTTTTAAATAATTAAGTGAAGATCATGAAACACCATTATGGCACGAGACCAACATGAAAGCGGTGGTATAAATTGTTTTAATGTAAGAGATGGTGTAGACTAACAAAATAAAATTTTGGATGGAATTTCTAGCATTGAATTCTTAATCAGAGTATTGAAATTACTTATAGAGGAAATTTTTATAAAAATCTAATTTCGGGGCCAAATTTATAATTTTAGCAAATTCGGAATCTAAGACATAATTCTTTTTGAAAACATGGAGTCCAAAGCATGATTTTAAAAATGTTTGGGGTCAAAAATAAAATAAACGATGGGTTTCTGAAAAATGTTTGGATTCATAATTCTTTCATCTTTCTCACTCTCTCTCCTCAACCATTCCCGCAACTCCCGCAACCCCCTACAAGAAAACCATCTTCCACACCTCCAAACTTCAAATTTCTTCATCCTTTCTCTTCCAAATCCATAGAAGAACTAAACCCTTACTTTTTCCCCCACTTTAAACGCATTTGGTACCCCCAAAAACTGTTCCAAAGTTGCTGTCAAAATGGAATCCGAGAAGAAGGTTAAAGCTTCTTCAACATAGAGTTGGGTTTTCGAAAGGTAGCTCTCTCAATCACTTTCCAAAGACATTTTCTTCTATGAGCAGCAACTAACATGAATTTTCTTGTGTTTTGTCTTTGATATTATTCCTCAAATACATCCATCCATGATCAGCCATATCCTCACCCTTAAAGCTACAAGTTTGAGCTTCTAGAAACCGAACTTTTGATTAGTTTTCAAGGGTAAGACTCTCAACCTTTAGAGTTTTGTTATTGAGGTTAAATGTGTTATTCTTATGGCTTTAGATTGAGTTTTCGTTGATTTGAGCTTGATAAACTTGAAATAGGATGTTGATTGAATACATTTTAATTTTTTTGGAATCCTTTCTATACTGTTTTGCCATAGATATAATTTTTCCTTTAAAATAAAATCCTAAGCTTTAAGTGGGTTCAAGAATCACGAAAAAAGGATTTTTCTAGAATTAGTTATGATTTTTACAAGTTGTGCAAAAATCTGTCAAATTCCTGACGGAAATTTTTGTCTAGATTTCGGGCTGATTTTGATGAGACTAATGAATCTTAAACCTAGCTTCTAAAGGCTCTAAAGAAATCCCCATGAGTCTACTTTGATTTGGCAGTAGTTTCGTAATTTTTGGAATTTTCTTCAATTTATTATAAATTTTCTCGTAACAGAAGTCGAATCAGCCCATTTGACAGAGTTTGTGCTAAGAGACTAACTTTTGTAACTTTGATAGATTTAGAACTTGGACTATGTTTTGAGATTTTGTGGCTTGATTTGGCTAAGATGTTGACGCATGAAGATCTTAAAAAAAGTTTATTATGAGGTAGATTTATAATGGGGGATGACTAAAAGTGATGCGTACATTTTGATTTTGAATGTGAATGTTAACTTTTAGTTTTACTATGTTGGTTTGATTTTGATATACGACCAGCGTAAATGTAAGATGTTTTGTGTTCTGCAGCGAAAATTGTTGGCGCAAGGAGAAATTTGGAGGTATTTATTTGGTGTTCATTGATTTTTTTTTTAGTTGATTCTCTGCTTAGGTTGATTTCTGGATATGATTTTTTAGTAATATGAGTTGATTGATTTTTTTAGTAATATGAAACCAGTAGAGGAATTAGAGTCCTCATGCTTAGACTCTCTAGTAACAATAGGCGATCATAATTCATTCAGATCATAATTTGGTAGTAAATTTGTAACAATAACAGTTTGAAATGGCTCCGGAAAAAGTACTACAAAGTACCATGCACCTCAACAGTTTTGTCTCTTGGAATGTTGATGCAAGAGTTTATACAGCAGTTCAAGCGACTTGTTTCCGGTGGTTCTTAGATTTGCAAAAGCAAACCACAGAATCATTGAGGCAAAACTGGCAATTAATTATTGCCTTGGTTTATTTTTACAAACCAGAGGATCATTGTTTTGTGTTTGAGACGTCGAAGCAAGGGGAAAGGAAAAAGAGTCTCTGTTGATTTTGGCCTTGAGGATGTGTTATATATTATGGGACTTCCCATAGATGGGATGCCAACTACAGGACTTGAGAGTGCGGATCCTGTTGGAGTTATTAGAACGCATTTAAACCTAAGCGAGTCCAAGGCTAAGGAGTTGCTCAAAGTGAAAAAGGGTAAAGAATGCTTTGGAAACAGTTTAATAGAATTGAAGAAGATATTTGAAGAGGTTCCAGAAGAATGCCATGGGTTGAGTTTAGAGCCTTATGTGAAGGTTTACTTACTGTATTTGTTGGGACAAGTGGTTTTTCCCAATACCTCAAGGACCATTGCTGCGATGTATCTACCGCTGCTGGACTTGCAGACAATAAATGATTATGCTTGGGGAGCTGCTGAACATGGCTTAATCTGAAGACATGGCATGACCCCTTCTTCCACTGTCACTTTTCTCAATTTGCACAAACTGAAAATTTACAAATCCCTGAGCATTTTGAAACCTCCAACTTTGAAACAAAACTCATCTCCATCACAAGCTCATCTCCATCACTCGTGGCCTTCGACATTGCAACTCAACACCAACACCAGCGACCAACTGCAGCAAATCCGGTGGCTCTAGCAACGTACCTCTTCTCCTCTTCTTCTCATTCTGCCTCTTCTCTTTTTCATTTTTTTTAGGTGAAGTTGGTTTATGGTTTTTCCATTTATTCTTATTTTTCTGTTAGTTTCTGGGCTCTGGGTTTTCCGTGGATTCCAATGATAGAATTGTCTTCATTTTGCCCTTTTTCTCTCTCCTCTCTCTCTCTGTCGTCGATCGATAATATATTTAAGTCCAGAACTTTCAATCAGTCTTCACTATTTCATTCCTCAACAAGAATTGTCCCCTTCTCGCTGACATAGATCCCATCAATTGTTCTTAACATGACATTTTCAGACTTTTGAGTGAATAACCCTTAAGTCACACACATTAAAACCAATAAGCTTGTTATAAAAAGTTTTTTCCTTTCCATTTATTTTTACTATCATTTAAGTACAAATTACCCTCTTTCTAATTGGGGAAAAAAAAGAGTTAGACCTAAATTGCCCCGCACAGGAAAGCTAAAAGAGAGAGAAAAAAGAGTAGAATCGTAATTTTACATGAATGAACAGTAATTTAAATCTGTGGGAACAGGGGATCTTCCCTTCTTCTTTAGTATATCTAATAATAATTAGGAACTAATATTTTTTTTTATTCTTTTATAATTAGTAATTGAAAGTTTCTCCAGTTGTTCCCCGAAAATTAATTTTTGAGTGTTGGTTTGTATTTTTTAAAAAATTATATTTGTATTTTTAAAAAATTACCGGATAAACTCAAGAATGGATAGGTAACTCAAATTAATTTTTGAGTGTTGGTTTGTATTTTTTAAAAAATTATATTTGTATTTTTAAAAAATTATTTAAATTGATTTAGAACAATTAAAATTAAATTTAAGATATACCCAATGTGCCTAAATGGGTCAACCAAACGACCCAATTTCCTAATTTCCCTAAATTAAACCCTCTTCCAAAAACTTTAGAAGATGAACAGTGCATTTTAAACGACATCGTTTATCTTAAACCACCGTTTTTATTTTAAACGAGATTTTTTTTATTTTTTATTTTTTTTTCCTCTCATTTCCCACCTGCCTGCCAATGGCGCGTCTCGTGATAGTAAGCTTTAGTCCATTATCCTCCCCATTTTTTCAGAAATAATTTCCTCTCTGAAAAATACTCTCCGCTCACTCAAACCTTCTTCCAAATCTCCATTTTTCAGAAATACTTTCCGCTCACTCATGTAAAGCCTCCAGTATTTGGCTATTGCAATTTTCAGAAACTTTCTCTCCATTCTTCTCTCTCGACCGTCTCTGTAAGCTCGTCTCGTCTCGTCTCTCTTTTGGCTATTGCAATTGGCAGGTAAGGCCTCCAGTATGTCAAAAAGAGAAAATTTTTATAATGGTGCTATAGGTTCGAATGTGTGTGAATCGAGGATTATTGCTATAGTTTTAAATTGATAGCATTCCCCATTTTCATTTTCCTAATTCTCAAACCGTTGACCCTAATTGCTTTTATGATTCTGTCAAAATGATTCTTGTTTGCTCTCAAAATGCTCTTGGGGTTTGATCGTTTTGTGAATGATGATCTGCTTGTTTTCCTTATGTCGTAGCAGAACCGATGATTTTCTGTCATGGTTCTGTCAAAATTGCTCTTCTTTTCTGTGAATGATGATCTGCTAATTTTTCTTATGTCGTAGCAGAACTGATGATTTTCTGGTTTCTTTCTATTTGCTCTTTGAATGTTTCCAATGATGCTCTTCACATTTCCATCAAATTTGTTTTTTAACGTTTTGTCCTCTTATTTGTTTTTTGCTTATTGGTTTTATGCTAATATCAGACCGCAGATCTTGACTCCAGTATGTCAAATTCCACAGAACCTTTGAACTTCAACTAACAAAGAGTGCTCATGCCAGTTCCCTAAGAAGTCAAAATTGATAATTGAAAACGGTCGTCTGATTTATATATGTCCTAATGACTATTGTGGGTTCCATAGCTGCTGGGAGGAAGACGACTCAATTGAGTTCAAAAATATGCGGTGTCGATGTGGTTGTAATATGGGATTTTTTATTATCACTACTGAAAATAATCCAAATAAATTGTTTTATAAATGTTTTAGCTGTAACATTTTCCGTTGGTGGAGTAGAAACATGGACCAGGGCAGCGGCGGCAGAAATGCCAAGGGGAAGGGGAAGGTCAGCGGCAGTGGTCAGAGAAAGGCCAGCGGCAGGGGCCAGGGAAAGGGTAATGTCAACAGCAGTAGCGACGAGGAGGATGAGGGAAATGCCAGCGGCAGGGGCCAGGGAAAGGGAAAGGCCAGTGGCAGTAGCGAGAAGGAGGATGAGATGGACCCCGTTGATGAGCTCTGTGATATGATGCAAAATGTTATACTAACAAATGTTGCCATGTTAAGAAAGCTAAAGAAGTTGAAAGACAAATAATTATTTATTTGCTATTTGTATATTACTGACTATTGTATTCATATTAGCCTAACTATTGTATATTACTGACTATTGTATTCATATTAGCTATTGTATTCATATTAGCCTAACTATTGTATGCATACATTTGTACATCGAGTTTTGGTCCCCACCATGCTGACTAATTTTGTAGTGGATGGTCTCAGCTTTAATTACTAGCTTTGCTTTTCTTATCCATATATTCAGTTGAAGTATGGCCTTAGTTTTTTCCACACGGTATGAATTTGCTCTTTTTGGTTCAAAATAATGTGGTTTGAACCTCTTGGTTCAAAACATATTAGTTTGAAAAGTGTTTTACTTTTTGGTTCAAAACAGAGAATAAGTTTGAAATTCCACTGGGGACTATGCTTTTTTAGTGGCATAGTAAGAATGAGAGAACAAAAAAGAATGGGTTATAAAAAATGAGACTATTCGTTTTTAGTAGCATAATAAGAATGGGTAATAAAAAAAAATGGTCATCCACTGGGGACTATGCTTTTTTAGTGACATAGTAAGAATGAGATAACAAAAAAAGAATGGGTTATAAAAAAAATGGTCCTCCACTGGGGACTATGCTTCTTTAGTGGCATAGTAAGAATGAGATTAAAAAAAATAATGGGTAATAAAAAAATGGTCCTCCACTGGAAACTATGCTTTTTTAGTGGCATAATAAGAATGAGATAACAAAAAAACATCGGCCTCCACTAATCTCTAATTGACTAATACTTTAAGGAAAAAACATGGTCCTCCACTGGGGACTATGCTTAGTATGGGCCATCCCATCGTGGGCCTTTACATGGGCCGGGATGGGCCGGCCGATGTTAGACTTATTCGTGCTGGCCAGGTCCGACCCAATTCATGTTAGACTTGTTTGATCCGACCCAACTCATGTTAGACTTGTTCGATTATTAAACTAGCTCCATTGGATCCATGCTCGACCTTAAAGCTATTAATAGGCCTTGCACATCGAAGACCCCTACGCATTGTGGAAGGCTTTCAAAGAAAGCAATTGAAAGAATCTCGTGGTGCATTCAACATGCCTCGGGAACAACAGATGAAAGAAAGCAATTAAAAGAATCCGTGTTTAAAGAAAACCAAAGGCTTTCAAAGGTTGAGATTAAATTGTCTCCGCAAAACAATAGAATTGAAAATAAAAACTCAACCGAACCGACAAACACAAATCCTACTTGATCATTGCTCGTCATCAATTCTTTCCTTCCCACTAACAAATATACCATCGAGAAACTTACTAATATCTTTCTTCTTCACTTGGCATTTCTGTCAAAACAAAATACAAACTTAGCCTCAGAATATTGAATCGATATTTTCATATTTTAACCAAATGCAATGTATTTTCAAGTAATAACTATACACCCGGTTTATCAAAGCAGCAGATTGCAATACAAGCTCAATGTCATTTCCATCCAAAATCAACTCATCCTCAACCCTTTCCAACCGTATAACAGTTACACCATCAAGCATATCAACCTTTCTGACCTAGAGAATACAAAACATAAAACTAAAAGGAATAAACATAAAAAAAAATCGTGATCCTAAATGTTAGTGTTACAAAACACAAGAGCAGGAGCAAAAATATGCAGAATTGCAAACAACCACAGGTTCTCAAATAAACCAACAACAATTGAAATGGAGGGAAAATAAAATGTACTTGTTTTTCACAACTAAAATTGACTGAACAAATCTAACATGTGTTGGGTCGGACCGAACAAGTCTAACATAGTCTTACTATGCCACTAAAAAAGCATAGTCCCCAATGGAGGACCATGGTTTTATTACACATTCTTATTATGCTACTAACCAAAAATTATATTTTACCATACTCTATCTCTAAAGTATCTTTGATTTAAAGTATCAATTTCATCTCCAACCCATTTATTCTATATTTAACACTAAAAGGAATATTCTCTTTATATTCTTTTTTATATTTATTTAAATATTACTTTCTATTAATTCTCAACAATTTATGTATTTCACAAATTATGCCCACATACAATATTTTTTTAACATAGTGGTCCGTTTATCGTTTAATAAATTTATAGAATATATTTAAATAATCAATGCACCATTTATGCTTAATGCGGTAATTACAAATAACTTTATATTACGAAAAAAAACACATGGTAAGTTTAAGATACATAATTTAATTGGGTTTTCTCTAATATTCAAGAAAATCCTTCATTTATTAGTCATTGTTAGAAAAGCTATATAATAGTATGCCCACATACAATATTTTTTTAACATAGTGGTCCGTTTATCGTTTAAGAAATTTATAAAATATATTTAAATAATCAATGCACCATTTATGCTTAATGCGGTAATTACAAATAACTTTATATTAAGAAAAAAAACACACGGTAAGTTTAAGATACATAATTTAATTGGGTTTTCTCTAATATTCAAGAAAACCTTCATTTATTAGTCATTGTTAGAAAAGCTATATAATAATCACTTCATTATCCCTTTAAAGTTTAAAAATAAGGTAATTTGGGTTTTCTTTGTAATTAATTTCCTTTTCCGCCCGTCTTTCCGCTAAGCTGTGTTGGTTGTTGAGACAATACTTGTCCACCAACCAACCACAAATATAATTTTCATTATTGGTTGTTGAGAAAATACTTGTAAAGAAAAAAGAAAACAGTTTACTAACAATGAATATTAAACGGCATCGTTTAATATAAATCACCGTCGGTTTAAACAACAGTGCTTATTAATTATTTGGGAGATGAAAAGAGTATATGCCACTAAAAAAACATAGTCCCCATTGGAGGACCATGTTTTTTCCTTAAAGTATTAGTTAATCAGAGATTAGTGAAGGCCGATGTTTTTTGTCATCTCATTCTTACTATGCGACTAAAAAAACATAATCCCTAGTGGAGGATCATTTTTTTATTACCAATTCTTATTATGCTACTAAAAACGAATAGTCCCCTGGAAGACAATGTTTTTAATTTTACCAATTCAACATTCCAAGTGTTTAGAATAATTGTATTTATTTTATTCTATATCAAGTAATTGGACGCATTTGCCCTCAGTTACATTTTGTGGAGCACATATAAGATGTAATAACAAATTCCTTGAATTTTCATTATGAGTGCTACACTGGCAAAAACATATTTGATTAAAAAGCCAAATCAAAATATATCTAACAAACTGTACAGAGAAGAAGAAAAATACTTAAATCAGAATAAAAAAGAAATAATAATAATAGTAAAACCAAACTAGTTAGAATCCAGCCCGCGTTGAAGACGATCGGAGGTAAAAAAAACATTGTCAAAATCGGCTGATCTGGAGAAAGAGAGGGAAGAAGCTCGTCTGATTTGGAGAGATGATCGAAGCTAAGATGCTAGTGGTGGCGCTGGTGCCGCACTTGGTAATGGTGCAAAAAAAAGAGGCGTCGTGAGGCCGCAATCTGCAAGGTCAGAGGAGATCGGAGAATCGGAGGAGAAGATCGGAGTCTTCGGTGTCGTAACACCTCCCTCAGCGATCATAACTTCCAATCGTGACAGCAAATCAGAGGTGCGATATCGGTGAGTTCCAAATCGCGATAGCCATATCGGCATGGAAGAGAGAAAATGTGCAGCGTAGGGGAGAGCTACGCCAGCCGGAAAATATACAGAGGAGAGAGATATGAGCAAAGAGAAGAAAGAGGGGTAGAGAAGAGAGACAGGGGAGGAGGAGCCTTGGCTACGGCGGAGAAAGGAGGCGGCAAGAGAGAGAGAGAGAGAGAGAGAGGAGATCAGATTACGTGGAGGAGAGAGAGAGAGAAACAGGAGGGGCTGGATAGAGAGAGAGCAGTGTTAGAAAGAAGGAGAGAGAATGAGATAGCACGGCAGATTAGGGTTTAATTAAATATAATTAGGAGTATTTTTGTCTTTTAAAATATGATTAAAATATCAAAATAAGAATCAAAGGGGTAGACTTTATTAGAAGGGTAGAAATCATCATCTATGTGATTTGGAGGTAAATTGCACAATTTTCTCTTAGAAATAACTGACTTTTCATATATTATATACTAGTTCCTACCTGTACGAGATTTATCTTAAAATACAAAATATTCCTGCAAAGATTAGGGGAAGCCAAGGCCTACTTAATAGATTTTCTTTTGTTTTAAAATCTAATCAACTTGATTAATTTTAGTATTAATTTCCCGGTTTTAAGAATAACTCGTTAAAACTTAGAAAAGTTTTCTAATAATAGCGGCCAGCTCATGGCTTTAAAGGGAACTTGTTCAGCGTTGAACGCTTTACCCCTTAGCCGGTGCTGACAACAAGTTTTACAAGTACTTTTCTAGTTTTTATAAATGAGGCTCACCACACATCTTGGTCCAAAACAAATATCTATTACACGATCATAAATATCTTCAAGACAAATCAACTTTTATAAATATAGGCTCCTTCAGTTTTTCTGTTTTTTTATCCATCATGTATATATAGATCCAAATTAATTAATATCATATCCCAGAAAGTTAATCATATTTCCCTCCCACTTGAACAAGGTTATATACTAATACAATGGCCTTGACACTTAAAGGCACGACAATTTTTCTGGCACTTAATTTAGTTCTAGGGTTATGGGCGTCTCAAGCCGAGTGCCGGAAGCCGCCAGAGGAAGCTTCTCTTCGAGAGAGCCATGAACAGTGGATGGCTCGCCATGGACGTACCTACAAGGACAATGCAGAGAAGGAACAACGTCTTAAGATATACAAGGAGAATTTGGAATACGTAAAGAAATTTAACAGCGAAGGAAATCAAACTTTCAAGCTGAGCCTCAACCGATTCGCAGACTTGACGAACGAAGAATTCGATTATACTCGTAATGGAGGGTTAATGGTGTCCTCACTCTCAAGACCATCCAGAGTTAACAATTCATCCATATATGATCAAACCCTATTTAGCAGTGGCGGTGCTCCTTCTAGCATCGACTGGAGGCAAAAAGGAGCCGTCACTAACGTTAGGGACCAAGGCCATAGTTGTGGTAAGTAGAGAATCACCATAGGGCTTAGATCAAAAAATATACTAATTAAGGTTTAACATCAAAACTAACAGATATATGGGGGAAAAAGTTATATATATATTTAATGATGTCAAGTGAATTATATATGATATATATGAATTGGGGACCCATTTAATTCTTCATTTTACCATTCACAAATATTGTAATTCTCAGCACCTTCGTTATCTACACTCGTCTCAAGTAAAATGTCACAGAATAACTAATGTCAAAGATGATTAACGCGTCTCAAGTAGATTGGCACAAACTAACATAGCATTTTAGTAATTGAGATATGAGTGTCATGTAGATACAGTGCCGTAACTTTATTTGTTTGTTCACCTTTCTTTTTTTCTTTTTTTTTTTTTAATGTGAGTCGCTCTATGTGACCACATATTTATTACATGCCATAAGACTCACATGCTAATGTATAGTACAAAATAGAGTTGCGGTCTAGCTCAAAACTAAAAAGGAAAAAAAATTACGTAGTCATATATTACACCATTTAATTAAATTGCAACAAAATTTTGTGCAGGATCTTGCTGGGCACACGCGACTGTGGCAGCCGTGGAGGGCCTCACCAAGCTCAAAACCGGGAAACTGCCCTTGCTGTCGGAGCAACAACTCGTCGACTGTATCATCAACAACCAAAACACTAGAGGCTGCAAAGGAGGTAGCCCTGTCGATGCTTTTGGATACATAGAACAAAATGGAGGCATAACCGGCGAATGGAATTACCCCTACGTTGGAAAGGACGGAATTTGTGACCAGAATAGAGCATCCCAATCTGCTGCAAAGATCAACGGCTATGCATTAGTACCCAACAACAATGAATATGCCTTAATGAACGCCGTATCCAAACAACCAGTCGCGGCTTTTGTCAGTTCGAGGGGGAAAGAGGTTCAATTCTACTCAGGCGGAGTCTTCACCGGAAATTGTGACCCGTCTACCTTGGACCATGTCGTGGCGATCGTCGGCTATGGGACATCCAAAGATGGTAAAAAATACTGGCTAATTAAGAACTCATGGAGCTCCCACTGGGGTGAGAATGGTTACATGAGACTCGAGAGAAATTCTGGTATCCCAGAAGGTCGTTGTGGTATTGCCGTGGATGCTTCCTATCCGACTGCCTAACTTACTAACCCTGCGGTTTTATCATTAATGTAACTGGAAACAACATTCTCCATTGCCATGTTTATCTTTTGGAATAAACTTGATATAAAAGAAAAACTAGCTCATCTCATTGGGTAATTGGCACTAACAAACCACCTCATCCTTTACCAAATGTCTGACTCATATCATTATAAATTTATAAAAATATAAAATAAAAGGATTACAAAAGAGTACAAATTAGTACCGCTCAGAAACTGGAAACAACATTCTCCATTGCCATGTTTATCTTTTGGAATAAACTTGATATAAAAGAAAAACTAGCTCATCTCATTGGGTAATTGGCACTAACAAACCACCTCATCCTTTACCAAATGTCTGACTCATATCATTATAAATTTATAAAAATATAAAATAAAAGGATTACAAAAGAGTACAAATTAGTACCGCTCAGAAAAAAAACCCCCAAAAAAAAAAAAAAAAAAGAGCCAGGAACTTAAAAACAAAGTGAGGCTAGCAATAATGGATAAAATCCAAGACAATAAGAACGAAGATCCACATGAGCGGAAAAGGTAAAATAGTTATTAAATCCAAGTTATATACTAAAGTAACTGCAGTTCGATTTGGGGGCAGTTCTTAATTTCATGTATATGAAGCAAACTAAAATAACTGCACATATATATATATATATATATATATATATCAAGACCAATGTGTTTCAGGAATTACAAGCAAAAAATGCTTGTTGGGAATTAAACCATAATCCACAACAACAATAAAGCAAAGCAAAAACGATAAAAAGAACATAATATAATATCATGTTATATACTATATCTTCACTCTTAATATGAGTATATCCACTTTGCGCACAGAATTTCACTTATATAATTTACCAATGGTCTAATATTTCTAACATAGCTGCAAAAGTTCCTCAAGATGCTTCACCACTTTGAGTCTTCGATAAAGTGATTTGGATGAAGAATCTCGGGTCTGTTAGGGTTTTCATAGGAGAGAGAGATGTGAAAAGAGAAGAAGAGGGATAAAGAAAACAAGAACAAATATAAAGTAGAAGTAAAATTAGAAATTTAGATATCTTTTAAAACAAAATAGGCCATTTACTATAATGAAGAATCTCGGATCTCTTGGGAATTCTTCATGCTTTTGAGGCGGAGATAATGGATGTTAATCACCGCAGCTGAGTCTACTAAATGGTTGTATATAGGAATTTTCTTTGTTTTGAATGTGATTATACCTATGTGGTGGATTTGTTGATTTTCTATAGGGCTTCCCACATGTATCGTGAAGGCAAATTATGTGGCAGAAAAACTATCTTCTTATGCAACATCGATAGAAGATATATCTTGTTGATTTTATAGTCTGACTTTCGTCTCTGTTGCAGTTCATAGAGATATGGCAAGATTTTCCTACTACCGGTTTTGTAGAGAATTGATTTCTGATTATATATATATATATATATACACACATACATACACTCTTTTTCCTCTTTAATCTTTTTCCAACTGTGTTTTAGCCAAAAGGTTTCGAGTGTCTTTCACATCGGCTTAATCATTTTAGAGGTACTTCTAGTTTTCTGTTTAGGTTTTAGAGTTATTTTTCATATTGTCCTTATTGCCCTTTTCTGGATTGTTTCAATTTTCACGATAATTTATTTATAAAAGAAAAAAAGAGTATGAAAGGGTAAAGTTTGACAGCAATTGTTTAGTCGTAGCAATAAGAAGTACATATGTTCAGTAGTTGTAACAATAATCAAAAGAATTTTTTCATTCCTTGTTTTCCAATTGAAAAGTTGTTGAGAAGGGAATAAGTGATTTTTGGAAAGAAAATATCATTCGCAAGAAATGTTTGTGAAGATAAATGGGCAGTAAAAAGAGACAATAAACATTCAAAATTATTGAAAATAAATGTGTTATATTATGTTAGTTCTTGTTTAATAAAATTTATCTTTCCTGTAAGTATTAAGGCCAAGTTAAGGCCTATAATCATGGTTTACTTTTGGAAGGACCTAATTTATGCAATTAATTTCAATATATATTTTTAGGCTTCCGTAAATAACAATTTTAAGTGTCCTAGAAATAAGGGGGGTATTGGCTTATAGGGGCCTTGGGCAATCGCCTTGAGGGGTTTATCTTAAGCCAGCAGCGACCACAAGTTTCTATCACGTAGATTTTCCTATCTTTTCTTCACCCCCTGCAACTTCTACAAAAGTGCCTCGCCGCACATATTGGTCAATTAAAGCGTATTTCTATATATACCATGGATATCTCCGAAACCAATCAATATAATATGTATATATATGGGGTATTTTAACATCATCAAAATTATTATATGTGTCGTAGCTAGCCCAGAAATTCAATCATAATTCCCAGCCATTTCACAAGTAATAAATCAAAACCAATACAATGGCCTCCACACTTGAAGGGACAACAATTTTTCTGGCACTCTTAGTTCTAGGAATATGGGCTTCTCAAGCCGATTGCCGAAGACCGCTAGACGAAGCTTCTATTCGAGCGAAACACGAACAATGGATGGCTCGTCATGGGCGCGTCTACAAGGACAATGCAGAGAAGGAAGAACGTCTTAAGATATTCAAGGAGAATATGGAATACGTAAAGAATTTCAACAGCCAAAAGAATCAAACTTTCAAGTTGAGCATCAATCGATTTGCGGACTTGACAAATAAAGAATTCATTCGCTATCGTACCGGTGGGAAATTGGTCTCAAGACCACCCGGAGTTCAATCACTCGCGTATGAAGCCCTAAGTGGCGATGCTCCTTCTAGCATCGACTGGAGGCAAAAAGGAGCTGTCACTAGTGTTAAGGAACAAGGAAAATGTGGTAAGTTGAGAATCATCATAGGGACAAGAATATTGTTTTATAATATATTACTCATATACATATATATATATATATATATGTCGGTAAAATTTGATGGTCCGTCCTTTTTCCTAACTTAGATCAAGAAATATACTCTAAGGGCAACATTATAGAAACAGCCGGTAGGAGACAAAGTTATATTGGTGATATCATATATACATGAAATTCCGGGACCGGTTTAATCCTTCATTTTTCGCCATGTCATTTTCTGCAATTTTTATGTCAATGTGTACATAATATTATATGGTAGAAAGTAACTGGATACGTTATTAATTTGATAACAATGAGTAGTTCTTTAAATAAAGAAAAAAAATAAATAGATTCGAATATCTCTTAGTAAATAAATTCCTACACATTACATAATTTTACCACCAAAATTTTGTGCAGGATCTTGTTGGGCACAAGCCGCCGCAGCAGCAGTTGAGGGCCTGACTAAGATCAAAACGGGCAAACTGCCCACGCTGTCGGTGCAAGAACTCCTGGACTGTGTCACGAACAGCGCAATCACTCGAGGCTGCGCGGAAGGAAACCAGGACGATGCCTTTGCATACATAAAAGAAAACGGAGGCATAACCAGCGCGTCGAATTACCCGTACAAGGCGAAGGACGGAACTTGTGACAAGAATAAAGCGTCCCAACATGCTGCCAAGATCAGCGGCTACGCAGTGGTGCCTGAAAACAACGAGGACGCCTTACTAAACGCCGTGTCCAAACAACCGGTCGCCGCATTTGTAAATTCAGCGGGCAAAGAGTTTCAGCTCTACTCGAGCGGGGTCTTCTCTGGAAATTGTGGCACGTCGTTGGACCATATCTTGACGATCGTCGGCTACGGAACATCTGAAGATGGTAAAAAATACTGGCTACTTAAGAACTCATGGGGCACCAACTGGGGTGAGAGTGGTTACATGAGACTCCAGAGAAACCCCGGTTTCGCACAAGGCCGTTGTGGTATTGCCATATATGCTTCCTATCCAACTGCCTAACTAACTAATCCCTAAGGTGGTCTTGGCTATATAACCTGAAACCAGATTTCCATTGCCATAAATTTTTAGATTTTTTTTTTTTTTGGTTGATAATTGATAATTGCCTCCTAAAGGAGAGGAACGTGTTGTTCTTATAAGCGAATATGCTTATTTTAGCAGTTAGAATGAATATATATCACTTCTTCCATCAATTTTTTTTTAAAGGGGAATCTAGTTGTTCATATACATTTTCAGATGAACTCCCTGTAAATAGTTATTCTGAATATTTAAATATTATTAATCCTTAAATCTTAATTGGCAAAAATAAATTCCAGAATGAGAAATAAAATCCCCCAAAAATATGCAGAAAAACGTGAAAATATAACTAACTAGAACATTACTTTCTTCATATTCGTATACTGATCTAATTTGATTTATGGATATAGCGAAATCCAAAATAGATAACCCGTAAATTTTAAGGAAAGGATGCTGAACTTCTAACTATTTTAAAGGATTGCTTGTTGGAAGAATTTCTTAAACTAAAAAAATTAACTGCCATGATCTCAAAACTCTCTGCGGCCTATTTGGAGTTGATCTGATAGTTAATTGGAAGCTAATTAATTGCAGAAATCGTGCGGCAGTTGGAAATTATATTTTGATTCGAAGATAATTACCGTAGAAGAAAATTCAAATTTTATTCTTAGAATATTTTATTTGATTAAGTTAGAAATTCCACAATTAAGAAAATTTCATTTTGTATGAACATCTCTAAAGGGACTCCCTAAATTTTAGCTAAACTTTAACTAAAATAACTATAATGTTATTTTAGGTAGCAACTTACTCCCTATTTTAACTAAATATAAGTTATTTTAATATTTATTGAACCGTGTATTATGGTTTGAAAGAAATTAACTCACTAATTCAAAAAGTAATCATTTTAAAGATTAAAATAATAAAAAAATTAAATGGCCGGCCCTTTTCTGCGATCTATATTTGACTAGTGTGAGATGCATTCTTTTAAATAGCTAACCATTTGTGTCCCATTAAGAGAAAATTACAGAATACACCCTTACGAGTGCTTGGGTCTGGATTTTTACTCCTCATTCTTGATTAATACCTTTTTACTAGTATAGTTATTTGGCTGAAAAAGTTATTAATCGAGAGTAAGAGGTAGAAATCTTGACTCATGCACATTTAAGGGGTATTTGTCTCATTTTTCATTTAGTTAATGGTTAGAATGAAGAAAATCTCAAAAACAAAAAGTCGTATATCATTAGCCATTTTAGTTAAAAACATAATGTAGCTAGCATAGTTAGAGATGCTCTAATAATAATTTGATCTATAAAATTAAATTTCATTTTGGCTTAATTCCTAGGTCAAATATAAGTTAGTTCATTTTATTTTTACTTTTAAAGTTATTTATTTTTCCTTGTTTTATGTACTTTCCTCACTGTTTAGTACAATTTAACTTATAAAAATGTTAGTCTCATCATATGTAAGGAGGTAGAATTGTTATGAATAAAATTTGAGTGTTTACTCATTCTTATTCTTTCAAATTTTATCTGTTAAAAAAACTAATTTTGAAGCTCTTTTTCTTGTATTTTGTTTGAATTAACATGTTAATAGATATTATTTTTAAATTTTTTGTTTTGTTTCGATTTATCTAACTAAAGTTCCCACTACATTAATTTGTTAATATCATATTCCTTCTCTTTATTTCGCTGATAGGAAACAAAACAAAACAAAAAAGGTAATCTTCTGATTTCTTTGCCAAGATTATTCCGCAAAGGCTAATTCCTAAATTAATGTGTATAAAATATAATCAATTTTATTTCTCAATTTAAACAACCTGATCATCATCAACTCCTCCTATACTCCAAACCAAGTACTCTTTCTCTGCCCTCCAAATTCTTTCTTAATCAGACAAGAGTGTTAATGGATTATTACAGGTACTGCAAGTCATCATTCACATTAATTAGTAATATAGCATCAGTCACGCATGAACTCTTGCACATTTTCTTGGAACGTATTACCCAGAGCGAAATTTCCCTTTGATCACGGAAGTCGCGCTAACTGATAATGATATTATTTGCCTCTTCATTATAAGATGTGATCATTCTTTGCGTATGGTATGTATGTGTGTGTATGGAGGACTCCTGTAACTTTAGTCTTCAAAACCTTGACTAATTTTTTTTGAAAGAAAAATTGTATTTCATTAAAATACTAATAAACAGTCATTTTGGTACAATATTAACCCATCAGAGGGACAAATGCAAGTCTAAGGTGTGAAACCGGGCAAGCACCTAAGCACACTAACAACGAGCAGACTGAAAGCTCAACTGGAGAAAACCTCTCTCTTCAACATGAGCTGTCGAGCGTTGGAGGAACATATCGTTAAAACCCACAAAAAGGGGGCATCAACAATGCATAGAAAAAAATTCTAGCCGGACCAAGACCACCCTATCGGCATTAAGCCGAACACCTAAATCTAACAAGAAAAAAAAAAAACAAACCAGACGAGGGTCGAGTAGAGAAACCACCAAGCTTATTACAAATACAAAAGTTACAAAAAGACAAAAACCTCCGACCACCACGGGTAGAAACCTCCGGTGAAAGGCGTTCGGCCAAAGGACCATCGAGGAAGACCGCCAGCAAAGAGATTTCAGCCACCAAGTGGATATCTACCCTGAGAAAGGAGACCGTCTATTTAGTTTCTAAGCTTTTAACCAGTTCAGATCTACCCAAATGGAGCCATTACACCATACACCACGACCACCACCAATGAAAAGCCCACAACAAGACGAATTGGAGGACCAAATTTCCCAGCCGGGAGTTCGGCAACGCACTCAAAAACGGTGCCAGAGCTCCGATCAACCTATGCTCTCTAAGGACCTTCTCCGTCTCTCTCTAACCTTCTCTCTTAAAAGACTAATCCTATTAATATTGTCAAAACCTTGACTAGTTATAAATACATTATACTCTAAAAAATTAAAAATAAACAAATAAGTACAGTTCATCTATAATATTTTTTCCACCCCATTATGCACGCTAGAAAATTTTAACTAGTACTCCAACCGGCCTTCATTTGCGGCCTTAACTCTTGATATTTCCATTACTTGTGCAAACCGAAATCTTGATCTCTATATATACCCATCAAGTATGGTTGCTTCTTTACCGCTTTTCAAGCACTTGTTAAAAATTGTCAAGAGTTTTTGCTATAATATCATTATATACCCAGCTGCTATAAAAATGGGTTTGGCAATTGAAAGCACATTTTCATTTGTTATGTTGTTGATAATTTCAGGTACTTGGCTTTCCCAAGCCACGTCCCGCACGTTGCATGACGAACTTGCCGCTGTTGAGACGCTGCATGAGGAATGGATGGCTAATTATGGGCGCAGTTACGCGGACGACGAAGAGAAGAAAATGCGTCAAAAAGGATCTTCATTGACAATCTGAACTTCGTGAACGATTTCAACAATGACTCGACTGAGACTTACAAGCTGAGCATCAACCAATTCTCAGATTTGACGAACGAGAAAGTCCTGAGCTACTTTACTGGCTACAAGCTACCTGATCACCGCTCGCAATCGTTCGGCGAAGACGAGCCTTTTCGGTACCAAACTGTGACGGATGTCCCGCCTAGCATGGACTGGCGAAGCCAAGGAGCTGTCACTCCCGTAAAGGACCAAGGCCGATGTGGTAAGAGTACAGTAAGCATACCCATGCCATTTACTTTTTTTTTTTTTAAATAAATCGATATATCAAGCATAATTTAATAAAGTAGTCTTTACTAGTACTAATTAATATTGGCACGGACTATTGCAAAACTTAGACAATCTGTAATGGAAATGCTAATGTTAGTACTATATTTATATTAAAAAAAATGTGAAAATAATGTATTTACATATGCTATTCAATTTTTTGCTACAAGTCATGTTAGTTTACCAATCCATCCCAAAAGTTTAAGCTATTAGGATGTGGGCCAACAATAGTTTTATACTTTAACACTCCCCCTCACGTGTGGGCTGAACAATGGGCAATCGTGTGGGTAAATTAATTGGAAAGCCCAACACGTGAATATTTAAACCCGAGATATATTAAAAACCCAACACATGACAATTTTTAAATGGGGATAAAGAGTGCAATTACGAGAATTTGAACTCAGGACCTCCCGCTCTGATACCATATTAGTTTACCATTCCATCCCAAAAGTTTAAGCTATTAGGAGGTGGGCCAACAATAATTTTATACTTTAACAAGTCATAATGCTATTTGAAATTTTTTAAAGTAAACTTCAAATACAACAATCAACAGCAAAACTTTTAGCACCAGAAATAATAATATTGCGTTGGAAAATATATAAGTTTTCTATACTGGTCAGATGCTAAATTTTGACACTGACAATGACACGTAATTTTATAGTGCATTGGAGAGAGGAGATACTTGTAGGATTTTACTTTCCGTTATTTCCGTAATACTGTATTTTGGCAAGCATTATTTCTGTAATATTCATTACATAATGTGTTATTTTATTTTTGTTTTGAATAGGGACGAGATTTTAAGGATAAGTATACTTTTATGCTATAAGTTCAGTTGTTCCCATTTTCCATATATATATATATATATATATATATATATATAGTTATGGAGCATGTGGACTTGATGGATGTCGTATTGGCTAAGTTTTAGAATTTTAAATTTTGATGATCTTGTATTCTATTTAGAGTCCCAAAAACAAAATGGAAGAATTTAGTCATTTACAATTTGGCATTGTACGTTTTTGAAGGCCATCCGAATCCCTCAAGAACTAAAGTGACTACATATGAGGTCCTCTAAAACAAATAAAAATATATATATATATATAATCATATATGCAGGGTGTTGCTGGGCATTTTCAGCTGTAGCAGCTGTGGAGGGTGCAACACAGATCAAAACTGGGCAGCTGATCTCACTCTCCGAGCAACAACTTGTAGATTGCAACAGGGGTGAAGGCAACAATGGCTGCCAAGGTGGATGGATGGTCAATGCATTTGAATATATAAAACAAAACCAAGGCATAAGCACTGAATCTGATTACCCATACAAGGGAGGAGACGGATACTCTTGCCAAGCTGGCAACTCCGCCGTCCAGATCTCGGGCTACGAAGCCGTACCGGCCAACAACGAGGAGGAGCTGTTGAAGGCGGTGTCGAAGCAACCGGTCTCGATTACAATCGATGCTTCAAGTTCGACTTTCCAATCGTACAAATACGGGGTCTTCTCCGGCGACTGTGGAACTAAGCCAAACCATGCTGTTACTATCGTCGGGTACGGGACGACGGAGGACGGGACAAAGTATTGGTTGCTGAAGAATTCATGGGGAGAGACCTGGGGTGAGAATGGATACATGAGGATCGCTAGAGATGTTGAGTCGCCTCAAGGTCAATGTGGTATTGCCCAATATGCTTCCTACCCAATAGCATAATCAACTACTACTAGTCTACTGCTCGATTACCAAGATCTAACGGAGGATCGATGTTAGATCCTCTGATATTGGTTATACCTATTGATTTGAGTTTTTACTTATTTCATTTATGTTTCCTCGCTGTTGAAATAATGCAGCCTATGTTTGCACCTTGTAAGCGATTTAGTTATGAGAATTTAAATTGGATATGAGATTGGCCCGAGCTTATAACTAATTATTCCCATATATATTTCATGCTTTTGTTGTGGTTGAATCACTACCCGAGCGCCGCGGATCCAGAAAAAATTTTAAGGAGGACGTAGAGTAAACTAAAATTTTAACTAAAACAACAATACTATAATTTTAATTTAGTTTAATACACTTTTGATGTTTAACAGTGGATTTATATAATATTATGGTTGATTTTTTGGGTTATTTGATATTTTAAATGTGAAATATTATAAGTAGCCAAATTTTGGGGGGTACCATTGAAAATTTCTAAATATTTATACAGATATTGCAAATTGAAAATTTCAGAGGGGTAAATTAGGAGAAACTTTGTAAAAAAAAATTTGTTAGGCTTAAGTTGTAAAGGAGCCACTTGGATCCGATGGCATTATGTTCACTCTGGTTTTCTCTATTTTTAGGTAATTTTGACAAATACTTCTTAAAATGGTACCATTAAGGATTTTTAGCTCTCAATATTGGCCTATTGAATTTTACCCATTTAGAGTGTAATTTGACAGATTATTATCTATAATTTGATAAATTACGCTGGCAGCGGGTCCCAGTCACAAGCGGCCGGTGTCCAATCATCGACGGTGGGCGTAATTTGATAGATTACTATATATAATTTGATAGATTATTATCAAATAGGTAACCTATCACAGCAAAATAGTATAACTCCAGAAGAATGTGTTTAAGGGTCAATTTTTGCAGTTTTCTCTATTTTCTAATTTCAAGTTTTACAAACCAATTTTTTCTAGGTTATCTTATTATAATCAATTCTTGAACTTTGAGCATTGTGATAATTTTGTTTATTAAACTTTTTAATTCTAACAGAATTATTTCCTGAACTTTTGTTTTTTGACCTTTTTTATCCTTGACACTAGAATTGATAAACAATTTTTTTTATGTAACTGGTAATCATGTTTTTATCACAGAAAATTTGAAATTTTACAAAAATAATTATGTTATGTGTAAAATATAATTAAAGATTATTTAGAGTTAGAACATTTTTTATTTAATATAACTATTTTTGTAAAATTTTCAGTTGTTATAATATAACTTAATATCTATACTAAATTAAGGAAATATATATATATATATATATATTCGTTAAGGACTAAAACTGTCACGAAAAGTTAAAAAAGAAAAAAGAAATAGAACAAAAAAGTTGAAGGATCTTTCTACCAAAATTAAAAATTGAGATCAAACTGTCATTATACTTAGAATTCACAGAGGCTTGGTAATAACTCACCTTCTTTCCCAAAATTTGAAATTATTCGTTATTTCTAAATATAAATATACTATTAATCTTAAAAATTTCAATATTACCTTCGGCTAGCGTAACGCATCACCTATTCATCAATGAAGGCAAGAGTTCGAATCTCTCATATTCAAGTTCTTTCTTCAACAAAAACAAAAATAAAGAAATTGTGAGGAAATTAGTCCTCAAGAAATGAAGAAAGAAGACAGATTTCCAGAAGAGAAGTTAAGAACAGAAATTAGATCAAAGACTCCAGAAATTATACTTGGTTCGGATTCTAAATAATCCTAATCCAAGTCAGGGATTTCTTCCCTAGTCCTTCTACTAATAAACAGGGATTACACACTCATATTCTCTCACGTTTCTCAGGAAACAATCACACACCCAAACAGATTACAAACCCAGAAATTCACCCAACTTGAATTTCTCTCTCTCCGTAATCTCACGTGTACAGAGAAGTTTTCTATTCTGAAAACCAGAGTGCCTACAACATATCACCAATCCCTTATTTATACCAAACTAGGCCAAATAGATGAATGACACGTGTACTAATTAATTTGCTAGCTGTGAGAGTCTGCAGCCTTCCACATCTAGCTGTTGACTTAATCACACGTCATTCCTTCAGCATTTGTTAAATTGGAGACACCAAATCAACAGAAATAAATCAAGAATGCCTTAGTTAGAAAATTTAAGCATGCTCGGTTGGTTACAAATTAAAATTACCGAAATTAAACCAAAGTCCAATTATACTATTTGACATTTGTTATCCAGGTGTGGATTGAATTGTTCCATAACGCGGAGAGATTTCACATTTTTCTGCCATAGATTGAAGAATTTTAAGGTTGTGAACACTAAAAGTTTTGTTTTTCCATTTTCTAGTATTTGGGTTTTATTTCTAATCCACTAGTTTTGATGCTTACCGGTGGCTTTTATAGTATTAAGCCACGGTTTTCTCAATCTCGACCAATCAAATTTTTTATAGATTGTACGAGTTAGAAGTTGTTTAACGAGGTACATGTCTATTTTCTTGAAGTGTTTCATTCAAGTTTATTAGATAGAACCGGTTGTTTATTTTAGAGCTCAAGGAAAGATGAAAGGAAAAAAAAGAGAGAATAGTTAGACTTTATTAGGGATTGTGCTTTTATCTTAAAAGGTTAACCTATTAAGTGAAGTTGCTTAAAATCCTTATATGTGTGTGGTTATGTTTTATTAAATAATTGAGAAAATTAATGAACTTACCCTTAATATAATTATTTTTACCTTTTGATTAATACCCTTTTGACTAATATAATTATTTGACTAAAAAGGATTTAATCAATAGTAAAGAGTAAAAATTCAAATTCAGAGTAAATTTTAAATTCAAGAAAAGCAAAATAAAACTATAGTCGGCGGTAACAACAACATTGTTATTTGACACAAACAAAACCAAAACAAAGCGTTACAGACCTAACAACAACACAATCTCCGGTGACAATCTGACAACAGCTCTAGGAGAGGAAATCAACAGTCAAGACCGCGATTTGAATAGCTTAGGAGATGCCCAAACATCAGCGTGAGGAACCACCTTCAGCCGCTGTCCGCCGCCGCAAACCAGGGAGATAACCCCCCAAAGCATCCGCCTTCCAATAGAGACCTACACAGATCAGGCTCCCCTGGAAAACAGAGCCCAAAGTGCCTTCCACCATGCCCAGCTGTTAGAGGATAACCCTCCCCAACCCCCCTTCAAACGAATATGATCATCGCCTCCCAAGGCCGCATCTGACTTGGGGTTACCGGCACACACAAACGGGCTGAAACAGCCCCCATCCACATGCTCGATGACATACCCTGAAGCCCAAAAGCGTCCCTCCATTCCCTGTGTCGAATGCGAAAGCCACCAGGGAAGACGAAGTCACACGGTTTTGCAACTCATCCATGGAGCCGGGAGTTCAAAGGCTAGCCCGTGGCCGGCGCCTAACTCCGGCCTTCGAATCTGCACACGAGAACGGCGCACCAAAGAAAAAAGAGGGGAAAAGAGACGAACTAGTCTTAAGGTTTTTTTTTTTTTTTTTTTAATGTGCAATTCTTGTATTAACTGAATTGTACATTCTGGTATTAACTGTACTTAAAAGAGTATTCTTTTTAATATACAACCAAATAAGTATTATAACATGAGAACTTATCAAATAACTACATAGTCAGTCACAGAGACGCTTTTCCACTCATTGCACTCATTGCCTTTCAAGTAAACTTCCATCCATAAACTTTGACGGACCTTTAAATTTTAGGTAAAATGCCAACCAATTTGAAGTTCAGGGTGTTATGATGTCTAAGTTTTTAGTCTAGGGGATCAAGTAACAGAAAATAAAAAGTTCAAACAAGTAAAATGTGTTTTACACTAAATTAAACAAGATCTCACCTGACTCAAAAAAGAAATTACTTTTCATGCTGAACAGTTAATCATGGGATATCAATGCAGAAACAGAGTAAAAATTCAATTGTCACGGTTCTTTAAAATTAAAAAAAAAAATACAAAAGAAAATCATGATGCATAAGCTTAAAATTTCGGTGACATACACATAAATCGACTGTCAGAGACATCATAACATAAACATTACTCTGGCTAAAACAGTTTCAGAAAAGGAGCAAACAATCAGGAACCTTTCCCACTGCTGGGATAGGATTTTGTGCAGAGAACCCTTCGTCCCTTGGCACGTCTGCGCTTTAGCACTGCCCTACCGCTAGTGGTTCTCATTCGCCTTCGGAAGCCATGTGTTCGCGCCAATGATTTCCGAGACCTGTTTCTCTTGGTTAGACAAAGAGCAGGCTTCCCAGCCCTCACGACTAAGCCACGGCGGTTTCCTTTTCCAATCCCAACGTTAGAATTTAAATCCAAGCCCAGTGATAAACCTGAAGATTCAAATATTATTTGAGAAGAAACACAACACAAGTACTGCATGAAGCTCCCAGCTTCTACATTGACGTGACGGTCAAATTTGGACAATCAATTTGTCATTTGGGAATGCACCCACTATCTAGAAAACTAAAAGATATTTGAACAAAGTTAAAGATTTAGCCATGTATTGTACATTAACCACTCATGATCACTATGTTTCCTTAAAAAAAAAAAAAGTAGCAGGACCCTTTTGTGAACCAAGGACATCCATTTTAAGTGTTTTTAGAAGCTCCTTTTTTTTTCTTTTTCCTTTTGAAAGTTCATAAAATCTTTCATTCATCATAGATGTGTATAACATGTTCATCTGAAAAGAAATTCTTCTGCTCTATGTTTCTGTTCCAAAGTTTGCCAACCAAACCCAAATTGACCAAAGTTGGTTTGAATTTGCATTTTGTATTTTCGTATCTTTACATGACAAAGAACGCCAATATACCATCATCACAAAAACCTTTACCAGTTCTAGCTCTACCGAAGTTTTTGTTTGACTAGCAATAGAAAATTCTTTTCCTAACTTAAACTCCACCAATCGTTCACCTTCCAAAACCCAAATTTTTCCTCCATAACACTCAGCAAAAGGAAAAGAATATTCATTCCCCAAAACAAAGCTCATCAATTTTATCTAATGTAGTACGCCCACATGGGAAAATCATCAAACAAGATGAATGCCACCACATAAAAAGCTGAATAACGATTACCTGAGACAGAAGAAGGAAAGCCCAGAGACGAGGAAGGAAGGAAGGAGCAGTGAAGCAGCCCAGAACGGGCGTTGAGGACGTTCGCGGCGTTCATGGACAGAGAGGTAGTTCTTCTGGAACCAGTGAGGAAAGTGAGAGAAGCAGAGGACGTTTGTGCTCGACTGCCCCTACTCGACAGCCATGGCGACAATGTTACCGCCGAGATCGAAGCCATTTTTTTTTTTCCTCTTCTCTGCCCTCTTTGTTCTTTCGTTGGTTTTGTTATCCCCAGACTTCGGAGGAGATGAGGTTGTTCTCTGTGTCTGTCTTTTTGCCTTATCGACTCAATTTCAATGGTCGTTTTGGGAATGTGACCAGCTGTGAGTTTAGCCAGAAACACCGCACGCCTCCTGTGGCGAAGAGGGCCGTAACTAGGAACATGAGCGGTGTATTGTTAACATGTTGGGCTGATCCGTGTATTGTTAACATGTTGGGCTGAGTAAGCCCAATAGGCGATTTAACTTGGAATATAAGCCCTTTGGGTCTTAAACCATTCTGTTCAAGTTTTGATGTTGAACGACTACAGAAGTTTACTTTTGTCCAATTGAGACAAATACCTTTTAGGCTCCGTTTGGTAAGAAAAATAGAGAGTTGGAAGGATAAAAAATGTGAAGGGATGTAGAAGATTATAGTAATTTTTTGTGTTATTTGGAAGGAGAGATAGTTAAAAGAATGGATGAATAAATGTTTGTTTAATTACTTTTTGTCCTGTTTATTAATTATATACTAAACATTTTAAGAATAAAATGGTCTTTTCTAATATTTAATCAATAGATTGTATGGATCTTTCCATCGGAGGAGGGATGCAAAATGGTGGGCCTGGGTGGAGATAGTCTCCCTCCACCTCTCCTCTCCCTTCCCCTCTCCCTCGAACCAAACAAGAGATTAGGGTTCTCCCTCCCTCCACCCCTCTCCCTCACCCCCAATCCCTCCTACCAAACATACTTTTATAGTGTATGAGTCTAAATTTTTCACTTTTACTCATGATTAATATCTTTTTAGTTAAATAACAATGGCCTCGTTCATTTCACCGATTCGAGTTTAGAATTCGAGTTTTACTACAGTAAAAAGCTCTCAGAAACAGTCACATCTAACTTTTTTGCTACAATAAAAAGCTCTCACATAAAATCACATCTCAACTCGAATTAAAAACTCGAATCAGCAAACTAAACGGGCCCTATATAAGTCTGAAGGGTATTAGTAAAGAATAATGAATAAAAATTAAGACTCGTGCACTCTTAAGGATAAATTCAGTAATTTTTTCCTTAAAAAAATGGGAGGACAAGTATAATACTAATAGTACATTTAACAGGGATAAAAAATTAAGCATAAATTTGAGGGCATGGAAATCAATAACATATGTCGTCATCGTTATTTCCTTCTATATGTTTCTAAAAAAAATGTTCAGTATAATTATAAAATACGTTATTTACTATAGTTAATTCAAACTTTCCTGTGGCAATATTACAATGATACTCTTTTTAAAAAAAAAAAAAAAAAAAAAAAAAAACTGGGTACTCTTTTTTATGGGAAAATGTGGTAAATAGTATATTTACAAAACTAAATTAAGTATATAATAGATTTTAAAATTATTTAAAGTAAATAATAATTTATCGTGTAAATAATTTATTTACGACTAATAAAAAGATTTTTTTCATTGTAAATAAAGATATTTTATCAATCATAAATGAATTTTTTATACTGTAAATTGATATTTAATTCAAATTATTTTAAAATCTACTATTTACTTAATTTAATTTCAAAAATCTATATTCACTACAATTTTCTTTTTTTATATACAATAACAACAACATCATCTGGTGGTTAGAATTTTTAAAAGAGAAAAATTAAAAATCTATTCCCTTTTGTGTAGTTCTTTTGTATTCCCGACCCTTTTAAATTGACATACAATGAGGGAACTTGAGAGTACAAATTTTTACAATATCAAAATGAAAAATATATATAAATATATAAATCTCTATGCTTCTATAATAAGGGCCTTTTGAGATAATTTGTGCTTGTATTTTTAAGTAGTAGAAGAAAATAAGTATAAGTTAGAGTTTTTTTATTAGTGTTTGGATAATATCTGAAAAAAATACTTTTATATTTAAGAAGAGCTTTTGAATTTATTTTGGTAAAAAAGTCCAAAGCACTTATCATTATAAAAAGTAATGTAATAAAAATGATATAGATGAGATTTTAATTTGTTCACAAATAAAATGTTAAGAATGTAAATAAAAAGTCTTTTATACGCATTTTTTTATAAGCGTCAAGAAAATGACTTGTTCTAAAAATGTTAAAAAAAGTCAAAAATATTATAATGTTGTCCATCTAAATAGGTCTAAAAGTGACTTTTAGACTAAATAAGTCAAAAAATAACTTTTTTTAAGCCATTCTAAATGGACTCTAAAAAGAAAATCCCTTTAAATTTCACTTTTCAAAAGTATCTACAACCAGTTCCAACCACTAAAAAATATCAATAAAGCATTTGAATTCTTCCTGAAATTAATCGTCTACAATTTCAAGGAAAACATAATATTGATTCTTAGGTGGAAACTATACCCATAATTAAACAACACGTTGTTAACAAAATTTAGAAACGTCGCGCCGAATTTCAACTGCCATATAGAAACGACATGTCGTCTACGAACCAATAATAAACGACATGAAAGTTAAAAGTAACATGGTTATTCATTTCACTTTAAAAACGACAAGTAGCGAACGTCATCCCATTTTGTCTAAAGGAAAACATTATGTCGTTTCTACCACACAAAAGACTACAGGAGTAAGGGCAACCATAAGTAAAGGACATGTCGTTCATTTCAGGTACAAACAACATTTATAACAAACTACATGTCGTTTGTTTATTATTATTATTATCATTTGAGAAAATGTCGTTTGTTTAGCATAATAAACAAAAGGTAATCAAAGTAAAAAGACATGATTTTCACAAAAACGTTAAAACCGATATATGCTTATTTTCAAAGAGGTAGAAACAACATTTTGTTTTGATTTTTTTTTTTCTGCTACTGTCGTTTTAATTTTTTAGGTTGAGGGTTCAAGTCCTCCTGAGTGTGTGTGTGTGTTGAGGGGTTAGGGTTTTAGGTTTTAGCGTGTGAGTTGTTTGATGAGCACAAAATACCAACAAAAAAAAACCGTTATAATAAGGATTAATTTTAAGAAAATGCAGAGAGCTTGTATGGGGATGTAGCTCAAATGGTAGAGCGCTCGCTTTGCATGCGAGAGGTACAGGGTTCGATACCCTGCATCTCCAATTTTTATTTGGTTTGGCTCATTATTTATAACAGTCTTCATCCACTCTCAAGAGAGGACCAATTCTGATTTCTAAGAAGGCTTCTTGTAGCTTTTCGTTTCTATATATACCATTCTTTCCTGTAGATGAGCCAGCTATAACATTTGTCCATTATTATTTTATTCAATTAAAAAACCACCAAGTGTAGCATTCTATATGTTAAAAAAACAAATGAATCTCCAATAATTCTTATAAGAAATGTCCTTCCATTTTCCAAAAAGCTATTTAAATCTACATTTTGCTGAAGGAAGATTATATAGGTCTTTAAAAAAATGATTTGCTGGAATATTATTATATTATTATCCATGCACAGTGAACAAAAGAATATTAGTCAATAATGGTAAGTAAGCCAATCCTTATCTTAAGCAATTCCATCCTTAACAAATATTAGTTTGCAAAGCTATAAAGAATACAATAATTGTTAGGGTCTTGGGATAAGACCTTAATTTCTGTATGGTACCAACCCGTGCATGTCAATTGTTTCATGAGATTAGTCCTTCCCAAGTTGGCAAGTACTCCTAATCAATATTAACTTCATGAAAAGATCTTATACCAGTTCCTTGTACTTCATTTTAGGCCTAATTAAGATCACGAGACTGTTGATCTGACCACTAAGCAGTTGAGGCTTCAAATAAAAATATATGTTAAAAGGTATACAAAATTAATGGATGGGTTTTCGATAGTTCATTTCCTCAGTGCCTTAGCAAACGGCATTTGCATTAATTCTATATTGCGTAAGAGGTAGGAGCAGAGTTGTTGCCACAGAGTTAACCACCATGCCAACTCTTGGTATGCATCAATTGATTAGGGCTTGAGACAATCGGACAACTTGTGGGGTTGTAGTTAGGTAAGTTTTTAGCTTTTTAGGATTGGTTAGTTTACTATTATATGATATATTGAAAATGTTCTCAACATAATCCATAATGGAGATATGGGCCCTTAAAGTGATATTCTAGTAATTTAATTTTGGTATACTTCTCTGACCATCAATAGTCATAATCTCTCATCAACATAACTGCCTAGATGAGTTCCTAACAATTTGAATTATTTCTATAGAGAAGTGATTCTATAATCAATAAGCAGGAAAAAGCACAATCCAGCCGGACTACTTTCCATTTAACTTTATCCTCAAATCAGTATTGGGAATTTAAAAGAAGAGTTGGGGTTCATGTCACCCAAAGACTACAATAGATCAGTTGGTTGAGAAAAGACTGTGAGCAACAGAATTACAAAAACGACAAACATGAATCAACTTTTAAACCAATTATATGGTAAAATATACTCAAAAGATGGAGATTCATTATAGTGTACTTGGGGTGAAATAAAATTGAATTATCACCGGTTGTGGTGGCATAGTAACGAATGATAATCTATTAGAGTTCTTCCATCTATCAGTTAATCTCAGTTAATGATTGATTCATTAATTTTCAGTGAAGTTGAAATTATATATCTTTTATCGCACTGCCGAATATGACTTGGACTGAAGTAATTTTGGAGTACTTTTTGAATGTGCTAATTGATAAATACACGAGTCAGGTTACTTTCCGTTCTACATGCAGTCTTAATAGATTATTAAATGACCATTGGATAGGGGAGTGAGGATACCTTTTTTCTTTTCAGCAGAAAGAAAAAGGGAGTAATGGACTTGCAAAAGTGGAGCTGAATTTGGTAGGTACTAGTGGAAATTAGAAGATTTCAAATCCAGATGTTCGCTGGTTCCCAAATGTTTGTGCCCTTTGCTTTGTGGGCATATCCACCAGAGTTCTTCTTCTTTCTAACTAATCAATCATCAGACATCCAAGGCTGCAATATCTTGCACGCCTTGAGTGGAGACTGATCAGACCATTCTGCAACCATTCAATAACTAAATGTGGGCTTTGTAGTAAACCTGTGAGAGTGGACAAAATGTAAACACCAAACCAATTCCACGTGTAGAACTGAGCACCAAAAACAAAAACAAAAA